ATGTGATTAAAATTAACCAAATATACACCTTAAATAAAATATACAAAAATAATAACTCATAGATTCTAGACTAACCTCGAAGTTTGGGTAATAGGGTTCCGGCGAAGACGTCGGCAAGCTAACGGCAGCAAGGTGGCGACAAAGACGCCGAGGGCCTGCTGCTGCGTTTTTGAAATTTTTTTCAAGTAAATGTCTCGATCTGAAAGTGTGAAATGGGAAGGATTGACGGGGCGGGATTTTCTCAACGGAAACAAGATTAGATTAAAGCACAGAGTAGATTAGTGTCGCGATCCGGGTGCATCACATTAATTAGGCGGCAATAACGCTCGGTGGTTCACTAACTCACCCTATTGCCCTATAATATAACTAGATTTTATCCCTGCGATGCATGGTCAAAATAATAACCACAAATATTTTATTTATGTAAATAATAAATAAATTTGAAAGGGTAAATACAATACTTCGGGATATATAACAAATTTTAGTACATATCATATCAAGTACTGTCTATTTTGGATGATAATACCTTTTATAGAGTTTTTAATCATTTAAGAGTACATTATACATAAATAAATTATGCAGATAGTATCGATTGATAAATTCTGAAAAATGTGTTTGTACACAACATTCGAAGTGTAGTAAATACATTATTTTTCTCGTCATAATTTAAGATCTTTTGTCCTTAATGATTTGTCACAGGGAGATAGCAATATTAAGTTGAACATTACTAAAGACTGATTTTTAAGTAGTAGACCAACATGCAATAAACATTGTCGTTGACTTTTGTATGATAAACTACATTTTTAAAACATAACTTAGTGTCATATATTAATCAACTAAAACCTTTATATATAAATATATGTGTGTGTGTGTGTGTGTATAACTGTAATAAAATCATTATTTTTACAATATCTAATATTAAAGTTATTTTAATTAGTGAATAAAATATTAAAGTTTGACTGCAAAAGATTAAATTTATAAAATAAAATTACATTCTGGAAATAAGTATAAAATAGATGTAATAAAATTATAATTTCTACGATATCTAAAATCAATTTTATTTAAATTAGTTATTAAAGTATTAATGTTTGACTTAAAAAAATTAAAACCGGAACAATACTCAAAATGGAGATATTATTAAACACATAGGTGATATATACCCTAGACCCATATACTCCCTCCGTCCCAAAATATTCACAACATTTGCTTTTTCAGTAGTCGCGGGAACTTTTGTTTATTTCTATATATTTTCATTGGTTATTTGATAAAATAAAATATTCTTGACACCTCTTATTTCGAAGAACTTTTCATGTAGTTTTTTGATATGTAAATTTTATTTTTTTATTTCTATACGAATATGTAAATAAAATGAATTGAAAGAACTTAATATTTTGCCTCGGGAGTATTATACTTTATGGCCTAAGCCCACTGCTTTCACCTCCGGCCCAATTCAAGTTTCACACGCCTAAGCCTAATAAGAGCATATGTTCTCCTAATAATAAGAGTATAGGTCGATCATTAATGAATGTTTTCTGATTTTTGGATTTTCTTTCATTTTTGCATGTTTTTCTTTCCTAGCACATAGACAGGTTCTATACGAAATTGAAGTCTACAAAGATTTTAGTGAATACGAATTAAATGAGTTTTTGAGTTGTGTCTTGGCTTGATTTTGGAGGTTCTATGTCAAAATGTAATTTTTTATTTTTTTCTTACTCTGATTTTTTTTAGATGTTTTTATATATTTGTTTCTCGGTTTACATGGGTTTTATCGCTTTAGTATCTATGTCCGTGGATCTCTATTTTGAGTTGTAGCTCTAACAATAATTTTTACTTTTTAAGCATTCAAAATTACAAAGACTTTCACATATTATTGCATGATACACAAAGTTTATAGATCTTAATTTTCAAATCCTAGCTCTCATTTTATTATCACAAATTATTACTATTTTAAATTATGGAGATATTTATACAAACTTTATATATATGGATCAGTATAGAACATATTATTATTTTGTTGAACATATACATAAAGATAAAGAGAGCTTAAAGAAGTTCTTATCTGTTGTTTCTTGGCTTAAAGGAGTATAAAAGTATAGTGGGGCCAAATTAATTTGTGAAAATTAAAGTAAGCAAAATATACATAAAGATAATTATTTTGTGAAATTATCATATTGATCTTTTTGCTCTGTTATTAAAAGTTTTTTATTATAAAACATTTATTTTAAAACGCTAACATGATTATATCTTTCTTCTCAAATTTTATGTTTTCCCTCTTAACTATTTTGGGTTACTTATAATAAATTGAAATTATGTTTTAAAGATGTTTTAAATTTAGATGAGTTTTAAAAAATAAAAATCTATTGGAGGTTTTTACTTTTTTTTTTATTAAATTCATCTTCTTTAATAACATTGGCTTCTAAAAAATTATTTCTTGTAAAACTCTTCTGAGGTATTCATAATAAAAAGAATTTGTACTTGTTAATAACTTTCTTAAGAGGTTTAAACTAAAAGATTTCATATACTAAATTTGTAAACACGTGTTTTCAAGTGTATTGAGTTTTGCAAAACAAATACAAAAGTGTTAGTGTAAAACACACGAATTTTAGTTAAGAAATGTTCAATCAGTTAGTGGTTTGTGATTTTTTTTTAAGTTAGTAAAAAATTCTAATTATGTGTAATTCAATTTTGTAATCATATAATAGAGGAGATAAATTTTATTGAAGCACTTGGGAAACATGACCTTAACATAGTTTAGAAGAAGAGTACACTATCATCACCATGTTGTAACATGTGACACATACATTGATACAGGTTATAAGCGCGCACACACACATATGGTTGAACAGACTATTAAAGGGAATAACGAAGAAATTAAAAGCTACGAAATTGCCAACAAATTAATGGCACTGTTTGTTGAACTGACTTTTTTCATTTTGTTGTTTGCATGCTTTGAGTCACTCTCTGAAGTCAGAGAGGCTTGTAAAGAAACATATAGATTTCCACTGCTTTTATACTGCTCAGGAATGGGACTGTACGTGGTGGAAGAGTTGTAGAAGGTGGGAGGGTGGCTTGCCTTAATTCATGGGTTATGGAGTTGTGAATTGAAGGAGTGGCGGTTTTTATTATTAAAATTGTTATTCAATAAAAAAAAAAAAAGAAATGGCAACTAAATCATTTGGTTTTATTTTTTCCAAACATTCTCCATATTTTTAAGTAATAACTAAATTTTATTAAATGTAATACTCTCTCCGTCTTAAAATTAATTTTCCATTTGACTTTTCACGGTCTCAAATGCGGCACTTTGACCATTAATATTTCCATTTTTATATGAATATATATTATCAAAATAATATATTTTAAAACTATGTTTCAAAATGAATTTATTGATGCTAAATTTATATGAAAATTCAATATATTTTTTCTGTAATATGCAGTCAAAGTTTTAAAAAAAAATTGACTGCAAAAGTCAAAATGAGAAATTAATTTTAGGACGGAGAGAGTAATAAAAGATTCAACAAAAATAAGGTTCTAAAAAATGATTACACGAAATTGTAATTAAGGAATTTTTATAAAATTCATATCACATATCATGAAGTTCTAAATAAGTGATTTTATTTGAAATTAAGATTAAATTATTGAATATGAAGTATAAGTGGATATACTTTAAAATAATTCCCATTTTTTCCAGCCCAAATCCACAACAACTGTCAGCCTATTTATTCGGCCCAACAACACAGGAAATTGGCCTAGAAATTTAGGCTGGAATTTGTTCCTGCTGCCCTTGTAAATAGAAGGATCCGTCTAACTTTAAAAAAACAATCCCACTATACTTTTTTTTAGTGTCAATCTCGTGCTTCGCACGAGCTCGTATACATTCTATGAATATAATTTTTTATTTTATTTTATAAATATAATTTTTTATTTTATTTTTCTAATAGTAACAAAATATGTTTTAAACTGGTAGAATATATATTGGTATGCTAATTTAAAAACAAAAAGTTTATACGGAGTACAAAATTAGTTGTCATTGAATGAAATACTAATGAAAATAGTTTTCAATAATAATTTATTATAATAAAACGGCCCGGTTCTAGTGACACCGGAAAACGGTGCCACTAGCGGTGCCACTAGGTTTTTGGGGCACCTCCGGTGCTCCGTTCGTAAAATTGACGGTTCCTACCCTCCTACCCCCACCCCAACCCCGCCGTAACCCCCCCCCCCACACACACAAAATGTGTGGCTACTATGCAAAGCATAATAGCCACACATTTTGTGGGGGGTTACGGCGGGGTTGGGGTGGGGGTGCAGGAGTGGGGGTAGGGTGGTGGGTTGGTGTAGTTTTTAAATATGTATGTTTTATTTTTTATTTCTATACCAATATTTAAATAAAATAGATTGAAAAAACTTGGAATTTTTCTCCGTTTTGCGAACCAGGAAGATAGATATAGGACGGAGGGAGTATATAGACTTGTCTTGCATGTATATCCTTATCCTTATCCTTATATATAAATTTGAGACTCCAATCTATAAGAATTTGACATTTGGCATATTCAAAAGCTTGACAAGTGCACATTAGACATGTGGCATGTTAGATAGCAATTTATCTAAATTTACTCTCTTTCATTATTTCACATTTTTTTTTTATCTTTTTTCAAAAATGATATGAAGTAATTACTTATTTTGAACCCAACAACAACAACAACCCAGTTGAATCACATTACAGTAGGGTCTGGGGAGGATGTGTGTACGCAGACCTTGCCCCTATTCGGAAGTAGGGAGGGTGTTTCCAAGAGACCCTCGACTCCAACTGCACAAAAAATATGATAGGAATCACAGTATAACACAAATAAAGAACCGTCGTTTTAACAAACAGAGAACCGTAGGTACCCCAAACGAATTGATGTAAGCAATTGGTGTATAAGTAACTGGTTTCATTTTAGATCCTCACTTTGTCAAATTAGATATAATCAAATATGATCCAATGACACATACTAGAACTTCAAAAAATATTGTAAAGGTTGTTGAAATCAGATTGCTGTTAAAAGCTCGTGGACAACCCTAATCGGGGAATAAAATCGAATTCTCTTGTAATTCGATCATATCATTATTGCTCCCTATAATCTCATTGTTCTTCGTTGCTGCCCGATTTTGTTTTTCGTCCTCTCTCCCACCTTAAACATAAGCCGACGATCGGTGCAACGATGTTCAAGAACACTTTCCAGTCCGGTTTCCTGTCCATCTTATACAGCCTCGGGTGCGTATTTCTGTCTGTCTGTGTGTGTGTGTGTGTACATATATTTGTTCTTCCTGTTGTCCGGAATTGTTGATGTCTCCCTCACTTGTTAATTATTTATATCTAGCTTTCTGATTTCCATGTTTTTTATTTTGACAGGAGCAAGCCTTTACAGATATGGGATAAAGAAGGTAAAAGAAAATTTAAAAGAAGAACTTTTTGTCAGTGTTATTGTTGCTATTGGTGAATTTTGCGTACTATGATTGATAAGGAGTATATGCTTACTTTGTTTCAGTGGCAAACATTATGTTATGCAGTTATAGAAAGGGAAAATTATTTTGGTTAGGGCTTAGCTTTCAAGTGTAGCCAAATTTACAGTTGTTTCAATGCATATTTGAAACAAACACTGCAATCGAATTACCAAAAGTGGCCGTTTCATCTGAATTACTCCCAACTAAACCAACAACTGTTGTTTTTTTGGGGGTAAACTGGAAATAATAACATGGCATTTCATGTTGTCTTGTTCTAGTTAGTGCAATGACCTGAGAATTTCCACATTTTATGCACAACAAGTCAACAGTTAGTCACTAATGTCCCCCAAGTGGGGCCGGGATGGTGGGTGTACGTGGGTCTTACGCCTGCCAACGGAAACACAATTGGCTCAAGAAAACATAAAGACAAGTTAAAACGGTCAAATTTCAAAAGAACATTTTTCTGTACTTTGTTCAAAATTATAGTGTCAGGGCTGATTTAGACCCTTTTTAAGTCACCGTGTATTGCATTTTCTTATTTTGGCAGTGAAGTTGTAGACTAACTGTTTTTCTGATCACTTTCTTGATCACTATTAACTCCACTGCAATGTAGGTTATGTAGTATATGTTCGTATATACTTTCTCGACCTCTTAATGAACAAAGAGTTAAAGTCCCCACCGGGGTTTGAACCTGTGACCTTCCATTTGGGAGAGCCACATTGGACCACAAGATCTTTGGTTGGAGACTAAATGTTTGTGTTGTATGTTTTGTGTCAAGATTCCTTGTCTGAGCTAAAGAGATCTTCGAGATGTATTTAATATATGTAGCACTTTGGCAATGCGAAAGTAACATTTTTCTTTGATTCTTTTGTAGTTTCGAATGGCCATGTTAAACGCCTACAAGATGATGATATACAATCCAATGTTATTGAAGTTGTTGGATCAAATGTCCAGTCAGCCTTCATTACATGTCCTGCAGACCCAAATGCAACTCTTGGCATAAAGCTGCCTTTTTTAGTTGTGATTGCCAAGAATCTGAAGAAGTACTTCACCTTTGAGATTCAGGTGCTGGATGATAAAAATGTCCGGAGGCGATTTCGAGCTTCTAATTTTCAAGTCTGTAAGTCTACCCTTTGCTCGTTGTTTCTCGCTATCTTCTATGTATAGAACTTCGGAAAATGCAAAGTGACATCGTATTTGATTAGAATTTTTTAAAGAATTTACATATATTTAGATTTCTTAGTATTTACTTTCTCCCTCCCAAATTAAGATTCTACATTTGACCGGGAACGGTTATTACAAAAAGTGAAATTGAGTGGTTGAGAATTATGCAAAAAGAGAAATGGCGTAAACCATATAACTATAATTATTTTTGCTACATACCGGAGTATTTATTTGTCAGCTCTTTGATATTTTTGTATATTTTAGGCAGTGACGAGAGTGAAGCCATATATATGCACAATGCCATTGAGATTGGATGATGGGTGGAATCAAATCCAACTAAACCTTTCTGATTTGACACGCCGAGCATATGGGACCAACTATGTGGAAACTTTGAGAGTTCAGGTGCATGCAAATTGCCGACTCAGGAGGATCTATTTTTCAGACCGTCTCTATTCCGAAGAGGTGCTCCCCCCAGAATTCAAACTTTACCTCCCAACTATGCAGCAGGAGCAACAGGTAATAAACACTACTACAAGTTGAGCATGTCCTGAGAGAGCTCATTTTAGGTTCAATTGACACCGGTGTTAGTATGACACTGGGTCCATTTTAGGGCCCTACGGCAGTCCGCCCTAACCCCAACATACACCCACATCCCCTATGCTACCCCCACCCCCTCACACACACTCACACGAAAAATGCACCCCTGAACCAGCCCTGTACTCAAGTCCAAAAATATCATCGTAGGTCTTAAAATGGCATGGTGTCACACCAACACTGGTGTCGTTTGAACTGCACCATCATACTGCTTCTGAATGTATGTGACATGGTGTATGGATTTGTAGGCACACTTAAGATTTTGCTGTCTTAAATAGGCTTTATATCCCTTTCTTTACTTTTGAATGCAGCGGAGGACCTGAGAGGATCTTTCTGTAATGCAAGCCAAACTAATGGTTTTGGTTGGTTCGGAGCGTTTGATTGATCGAGTTGTTTATTTCGAGTTTTAGTTTGGGACTGGGACATGCTCGAAATGTTGTTTTATACAGACTAGTTTCAGGAACAAGCATTTCGCTCCTGTGTAGAATGTTGATTTCGTTGTTGCCGAGAGATGAACTGGAAGGCATCACTTGTCCTTTTTCCTATACATTGTGTTTGTGTTTTACATATATGAGGATTGTTTTGTTCCAATTTTATCGGATGTCTCCGAAGGGACATATGAGGAATGTTATTTGTGATGAAAAGGCAAACAAATATCCTCTCCAATCAAATTGAAAAACGTAAAATGTTAACACAATTTCTTGAGTGCTTTTTCCATTGACCCAATGCCCATATACTAATATAATAATTCTAAATTTTCCAAATCAATTCAAAAGATATGTGAATTTGGTAACACAAAAATAAATAGATGTGAATTTAGAATCATAATACAATTCAATATTATAGTACAATTCTATATCAAATCTTTAATTATACCAAATGAAAAATTTGGAATTGATTAGAATTCAATTTCACGTAACTCAATTTCATAGAATTTTAAGTTCAAATCCAATTCTCTGTACAAAACGAAGCATTAGATGAAATATTCATCTTTGATGTTTATAATAGCCAAACACTTTGTGGTCAAATGGCATAACTGTGGCAAATATATATATAAGCAAATATTACATTATAATAGAATAAAGGAAAAATTTATATAAATACTCCCAGAAATTCAAAATTTTAATAATACCCCCAAAATTAATTAAGGACTTTGGTGCTCCCAATTAAATTATAAGTTTACATCGCTACTCCCATTATGCCTTATCTGATTTTCCTACGCTTACATGTAAGTAGTTAAGCTTAATTGGCATTTTAGTTGTTTATTTTTTGTTTTCATAAGAGGAAAAAATTTATATAAATACTCCTAGAAATTCAAAATTTTATAAAAATACTCCCAAAATCAAATAAAGACTCCATTGCTCCCAAAAGTATCTTCCCGTTGCACGTTACGATGTTTGACTGAAATTATTTTTAAAGTATCTTATATGAAAAATGGTGTGATATTAAAAACTAAAAATTACATATTAAAAAAACTACTCCCTCCGTCCCATTTTATAACGCCTGTTTTGGTTTACGATGTTTGACTGAAATTATTTTCAAACCATTTTCTATGACAAATGGTATAGAATTAAAAAATAAAAATTACATATTAAAAAACTACATCAAAAGATCTACAAAACTAGTAGTGACAATAATATTTTATTTTATCAAATTACTAACGAAAATAGAGAAAGAAAGTGAATGAAGTTTGACCCTGTGAATAGTGAACAAACACTATAATGTAGTCTTTTACTATGTAATTTTTATTTTTTAATTCTATACCATTTGTCATATAAAATGGTTTGAAAATAATTTCAGTTAAACATCGTAAACCGAAACAGGCGTTATAAAATGGGACGAAGGGAGTAATATAGTAATATGTAATAATAAGATTTTTAGTAATATTAAAAATTAATTAATTGAGCTTAATTGGCATCTTAGTTTTTTTTTCGTTTTAATACGAAATACTCCCTCCGCCCAAAAATTATTTTCTCATTCACTATTAACAAGATCAAATTTTATTCACTTTACTTGCCTATTTTAATTATCTATTTAAAAAATAATACTACTATAATATATCATTACTAGTTTTATAAATCTTCTGAGGTCAACTAAGCATAATTACTTACATGTAAGCGTAAGAAAAGTTGATTAGGCATAATGGAATTAGTGATGTAAACTTATAATTTAATTGGGAACACCAGAGTCTTTAACTAATTTTGGGAGTATTATTGTAAAATTTCAAATTTCTAGGAGTATTTATATAAATTTTTCCTAGAATAAATAATATTCAAAAGAAATGTAATAATATTCAAAAGAAACGTTGCTTGTAATAAACAAATGTCTCAAACAAGTTGTGTATAAAATACAACAGAACTTATAGATCAAAACTTTTAGTTTTTACCTTATAAAATAAAATTAAACTGAATCGAGATACAATTCAATCAAAAATACAAATTTAAAATGGGTTTACTAGCCAAGGATGAAAAGAAAAGAAAAAAAACCATCAGAGTTCTTGGCTTAAAAGGGAATTCCATCATCATTGAAGTTATAGATTAAAGAGTTGGCCTGGCCAGCTGCATTTTCGTCCATCATGACCAAGTGCCGTGACCTCCATGGAGATGTCAATGCTGCGGTGCTGAATAGCACGCACAATACTGATGCGCAAATGTAATGTCACAGCAGGGCAGTCTTCAGTACCTACTGCTTCTAGCTTTTTGCCACTGCAGCATGATGATGATGATGATCTTCGGGATGACATTGCAATGGGTTCTCTGAAGGTTAGTGAGGTTTGTGACCAGTGTGTTTTTGGGTGGTATGGGGATGTTGACAAATTCGTCGGCTTTTCCTTGCAGAACCTACCAGTAAACCCAGTCTCAAACCACAAGACTAGCCCATAACACCAAGTGGTGCTTGGCTTTGATTCCAACAACGGGCTTTCAAGGGAAGCCACGTTCTTTAGCTCCAATTCGACTGTGGATGTGAAATCCATCTCCTCTGTCTTCATTGTGAGCAGATCAAATGCCTGCCAAAAAGATGCTGAGGTTATAATGGGGTCTGCCTCAATGTAGGGCATGTTCTTTTCTCCTTAATTTTAACAGGAGTCTCGTAAAGTCTAATAACAAGAGTCTGGAAGCAATAGTAAAATTAACTAGAATATGGAGACTGGAGTGTCGTAACTAAAATCTTGGGCATGTAGTACAATAAATGTAGTCCTGAGCTAGAAGTCTGGAGTCTAGATACCTAGAAGTCTAGCTAGAATGACATGGATATTTAATATTTTTGCCTCTTGAAGCAATAATACCCGTGTATTACTAAAAAAATTAAATATTTTGTTTTTTACTTCCAAATATACCCGTGTCTCATGTGGTGAGTAACAATTGAAGGTGGCAAGTGGAAGGAGAAGTTTATTTCGGGACATGCCAAAAAGGATAGCAAAAACTTTTCATGTCTATATTCATTCATTTTTCAATATATCAAGAAAGTCATAATGTAAAAAAGAATGGAGGGAGTACTACTTTTGTTTCATTATAAGCCGATCCAACCAGCACAGGAAAGTTAGTGTCTGGTAAAAAAACGGCTAATAAGCCGTGCAAAAAAACCTGAAAAGCAATAATTGTGTTATATGCTTTGTTTTGCTTTTCAGATAATGTGTCAGAGCGGCAGTTCTTGTGAGGAATAAAATACCAAGGCAACAATAAGGAATATTGATCAAGTCTTTGTCAACTAACAAGTGAAAATAGATGGCAAACCTGAAGGACTGCCGTGCTGGTGACTACATCAGAATCATCAACAACATCAACAATGGGAAAATGAGAGGCATCTGCAGTTAGTTCCTTGCCAATACAAGACATGTTAAATCCATACACATTTTCCCAGAATGGAATGCTAGTTGCACCTCTTCCAAAACCTGCAACAAACTGTTCAACATTATTATGGTAAAATATGTTTGCCTTGAGACGAGAATGGCATAGAAGCACTTCAGAGTCCAGACTCACCATGGTAGCTGTGTCTGGGAGAACAGCACCACCAGGCTTCAACCATTTATCTCGTGCCATCAGCACAGAACTTAGCATAGACTCGTAAAGAAGGCAATAGCCCATCCATTCACTTATCAGCACATCAACACTGTTTGGCTGAATTATTTTGGTAAGGTCAAGCTCTTCAACCATACCGTGGACCACATCAATTACCCCACTGTACTCACTATTATTTGGACTAACATTCCACAGAAGTCCATTTTCCTTAGCAACCTGCACGAATTCAAATCCATAAAAAACACGACAGCAGCATTGAAACTTTCTACCCCGCATGATTGGTTGAAATCATAAATTCATATTAAATGTAAACTTTATTGTAAATTTGTAATATCAATTAAGTATTCAGTTACTGTTAACTTTACGGAGTTATGGTACACAAATGTGATATAGAGCATGTTTGAATGGAATGGGTACAGTTGCAAACAAGAAAAAAAATGAGAAGCAGATAGCAAACAAGACCCACCTCAGTTGCCACTGCAGCCATCTTTTCACTACCGTCAATTGCTATTACCCTTGATGCTCCAGCTTGCGCTGCAAAGAGACTAACAAAAGCAATATTCAAAACCCATTTTCATCCCAAGAATCAAAATCTAATATGGACTTGTGGAGTTATAGTGAAATTAGGTGGTTTATTTTAGTTTTCTCAGTGTTAAAGAAATGGCAGGCATGTCTATTGTGTGCATAAAACAGAAAAAAAATAAAAGCTTTCTTAATAAATTAATGTTAAAATAGAAGCAGTTTAATTTGAGCTTTAAAACCACAGAGGAATATTTTCTCTTCATTTTTGTAAGAAGCTCGTAAACATAGACATTCATTATCAGGGGTAAGTTCTAGATTACTGTAGGTGACATTTCAGAGAGTAAGTCATCATTGTCAGATTATCCTTAAGACTCCATATATCTTGATTTCCTTAATTACCAATCATTAGTTTAAATGCTTCAGAATCCCAAAGCTCAATTTTGAGGATCTGTTGTCATTTTAAAAAAAGCTGAATCTACCAAGTGTCAAATTAAAATATGGAGTACGAAAAATTGGTCAATGCAAGCATAAGGTGTAATCTCGCATTGGATTGTTGGTGAACGTTTAGCCAAAGGATAAGAATGTGGGAAATTATATTTTAAAAAATGAAAACTGAAGATGTCTATGCACCTTAGTATGCCAGTCCCACAACCAACATCCATAACAGTACTGCCTCTAAAAAGAGAGGGATTTTCCAACATTGCTCTCCGATAAGCATCGGTTCTTTCCTGCACTTATTTTAAAAGAGCATTTACACAACAAAACTTAGTTTGCGTGGAGTTCAATTCCTCCTTCCACTTCTTTTTACCAAAGTACCATGAGCGTGAAAATAATCTTTCCAAAAATGTTACCTTGTCACTGATCATCTCCCTATGAATTCCAAAGAAACTGTATGAACCAAAATAACTCTTGTTAATGGCCTTTATTTGATTTATCTCAACATCGGAAATAGAACTAGCATGCCTCTCATCCTCTGATTTTCTATGCGGTGAAACACTTTTGATTTCAGAACTGTCCAATGGATTTCCATTATTGCAACTTCCATCAGTAGGAGATGCAACCTTCTTTTCCCCGTTCTCGCAACACACTTCGTACCTAGCCTGGCACTCTTTAGATGAAAAATCGTTATCATTGATTCTAATACCTTCAAAACCACTCAGATCCTTAGAGCACAAATTATCATTGTTATCAACTGACATAGTATCTTCTTCAACATCATCGTCTTCAACAAAACTATATAATAGTGCATCATCCTGCAAGAACGGCTTCAGATACTTGTTATCGTCCCATGGCAGGAAATCACTTCTATATTCTACCATTTTGTGTAAATGGTCTTGCATATCTTGCTTCGAATTGCAGGTGATCCGACAATTCCAACATCTACTTTCAGCAACCTAGCAACGGCGAAGTGTAAGTTGTGGCCAGTTAACACCCATGTATGGATTTTGAACTTAATAGAGTTCATGTGAAACAAGTAAAGAATGAGGTTTCAAGGAAATCTGAACGCACCTCAGACCTAATGTAGTTGATGAGCTTGAAACAGCCATAGAAATCCAAGCGAAGATTACTCTTGAGTTCCTCGAAGTCAAATCGGTGGCAGGAAGCGCAGTGCTGAAACAGAGCTCGGCCGGAATTCAGCCGGGAATCACAGAACAAGCAGAGGAAGACTGGATACAGGGCATCGTCTTCTTCATCGGCTTCCCAATCATCCCAGTTCTGGTCTTCTTGATCTATGATATCTATTCCATCTTCCATTTCCATTTCGGTGCTGTCGGAAGTATTCTCGTCGTCGCTTGGCGCCGTTGCCATTGAAGTGAGGAAGACTTTGCGCCACAGGCTAAAACCCTAAACCCTTCCCACTGTGTTAATTTGCCGATCCAAAATAGGGAATACGGAGTATGTTAATTTTATTTTAGACCGTGGAGGCTTGGAATCCAAAGAAACCAACGGCAAAGAATTATAAAATGTAGAAAGAAATTAAACTTTAAAAAATCATTTAATTAAATGCTCATTAAAATAAATATATAATAAAATTTTAATTTTGGATAAAAAAAATTATTTTTGTCTGTGTTTGAGACATAGTTTTCAGAACCGAATCGGTCAAGACACTGGTTCACTGGTTTACTGGTCGAACCAGTGGTTCGAGTGATTGAACCAATGGTTCAAACATTTTTAACAAATAGATAAATATATAAATAAATAAATATATACAGTATAAAGAAATAAATGATTATACATATATATAATCATATGTGGCATTGAATTAAAAAATGAATACATATATATAATCATATGATTAATAAAATAATATTTCCTCTATTTATAAATAAAGAATTGATGTTTGACTAAATTTATAATTTAACTTAATTTACTTGAGTTGTTTCATTAAATAAAAAATAAAATTTACTTATTTAAAAAATCTTAGATATAAAAAGTGTTTTGAATTTTTTAAAACATTTTATCTAGTATTTAAAAATATATATATATAATATTTGTGTGATTTGCACTCTATATCAATTATCTTAATGGGTTTTGAATTTTAGTACGGAGTAAAAAAAACTATATATACTTAAAAAGTATTTGATAAAAAAATTTGAATAAAGAATATAAGAAGAGAATATTAGGGAGTTCCCACCAAGCATTGTAGCAGAGATGGTTTGGAGAAGCTCCTTCCTCCCATGCAGTCCTCCGGCCAGTTTTCTCCGGTTTTAACTGGTTTCCACCGGTTCACTTCAGAATCCGGTCTGAATGCTCGGACCGGTTTGGTGTCCGGTTCACCGGTTCCCGGTCCGAACTGGCCGGTCTGGTCCGATTTTTAAAACTATGGTTTGAGGTGGTATCTCATAAAATTGAATAAACATTGTTATTTTATATTCACGTATATAAATAACTTTTTTAATTCGTTGTTGGAAAAAATTAAAAGATGTTGGAAGAAATTAAAAAAAAAGAGTTGGAAAAAGTTGAAAGTTAATTTTTCTAACTCAAAATAACATAGCCTAAAGAAATATGAATATTGATATTTCAAATATCAAAATTCTTTTTTGGTAGTATTTGGTTAAGCAAAAAAGAATCAAGTTTGATATCTTTAAATATCACACACCTCCAAATAGAAATTTTTGGTATCTCCTAAATTTAGGAGGTATCAATATGGATGTTTGGTATCTCCTTCAACTCTTGATCATTCCCACCACCGGTTATCATTGTCGCCGTCAATCATCTTCGTTGACAGCCAACTTCCATTATTTTTAATTAAATCATGATTTTATGTTTCTTCAACTATCTTCATTTCAATTAAATCATGATTTTATGTCTCTTCAACTATCTTCATTTCAAACTTGTGAACCAATATGATTTTTCTCAGAATTCAAAACTCATATTTAATTAAATCTTTAAAACTCTCCAAATGGGTCATCAATTACTAATAGGGTGTGGTTCTTTTTATGTTAAATGAAAGAGTCAGCACGACACTGATAGTTACTATGAAGTTTTTGTGTGTCTGTACAAAGCATGAGGTGGGATTATGATAATCCAAAATTTTGGGATTATCCTAGTTTTGTTGTAAATGAATACTCTATCTTTAAAATTTAGTCATGTCAGAGACTCACTAAGGGGGTGCATTCAATTCTGATTTTAAAAGATTTTGATAGATTGTTTATAATATATGGATCACGTAAAGTCAATGGATTATTTTAAGTGTAGAGTTGGATAGATTTTAATATATTTTTCAAAAGGATTTTATAGAATTGTTTAAGATTGTTTTTCTTCCTTCATTCTTCTTTCTTTCTGGTTCTCCACCCAAGCTCATTTTCATCCTCCTCTCATTTGTTCCTTTTTTTCTCTTTTCTTCTTCTTTCTCTTTTTTCTTCTTTCTTTCTTTTTCTTCCTCCTCCTCCCCTCCTCCCTTCTTATTTCTCCTTTTTTTTTCTTTCTTTTTCTCTCTTCTTTTTCTTCCTCCTCTTCATCCCCTCCTCCTTCCTCCCGATAGATCTATGCCACTTGTTCTTTCTCCTCCTACCCCCTTGTTCTTCCCCCGTCACCATGCCCGCCGTCGTCTTTGTCCCTGCTGGCGTGTCTATGTTTGGGTACAACTATGAACACACAAATTGCAATGGCCAACCATGCAACCGAGAGAATTGTCATGCAACTTTTTGATACCTTCTAGCTTCCCCGTCAGCATCCCCGCCAGCGTCTCCATCCCTGCCGACGTGTCTCCCTCAGTCTACTGTTGGATTCACACTTTCAGATCTCCCGACTCCTTTTCTTTCTTTGCTTCAGCTTCAATTCCAAATCAATCAAAATCTTTGCAGGTTGTGACAGATCTGTGAAATGAATTTTCTTTATATAAACAACCTCAAAATCCATCAAAATCCACAAATAATAAGAATCTTTCAAAATCTATAAATTATTTAATACCATAAGATTTTAACAGACATTTTAAAATCTAAATTTAATATCCTCGTATTTTGAATGACTTTTTAACATGTTAATTGAATACCTATTACCTTTTAAAATCTATAAAAATCCTACAAACTCTTGATTCAATACACCCCCTAAGATTGACACCAGAAATAATAATCGTAGATGAAAGATGTTGTATGTCTGTTATTAATGTGGCCAGCATGGATGGGCATGGCATATTGACCAAATCTAAAAAATGAATTGTAGAGTTAGGTGTGTTGAAGTACCACGTCGAAAAATAAAGAAGAATACCACTAGCATATGTAGAAGGGTGAAGCCCCACCTATCATCTTAAACTCTTGGGTTAGAAAGTAGATCCTGACTTTATATGCAAGTGGTTAATTTTTGACGATACTCTACCCGTTATTCTCGGCCCACCAAAATTTAAACATGGTATCCGAGCATGTCCAAATTTGATTCTTCCGGGTTTTTCGACATGGGTTAAGCAAAATGAGTCACCCGTCCGTGGTTGGGTTGAGTTCGCTATAAGAAATTGAGATGCCACCGTCTGTTGTGTGGGCTAGCTATTAGAGACTGAGATGCTAGATCTGTTTGTCCAAGTGCTAACTAGGCGAGACTAGTTACAACTTGAGGTGGAGTGTTCGAGTTCCCATTTCGAAAAATAAAGAAGAATACCACTAGCATACATAGAATGGTGAAGCCCCACCTACGAGCGCAAGCTTTTGGGTTAGAAAGTGGATCCCGACTTCATATGCAAGTGGTTAATTTTAGTCGACACTCTACCCGCTGTTCTCGGCCCACCAAAATTTTAACAAAGTGTCTTAGCTTACAAACTGATTTTCTAACAAAACAACTCGGACCTTACAATCTTCCACAATTCCAGAAAAATAAGATGTGTTTTCTTTCTCTATTCGAAGAGCTCAGAAAAGTATTTGATTAAACATATCAATCATTATGCTACCCCCTATAAAAATCCTCTAATCCATTGCAAAGCCTCATGAAGCCTAACGTCTCTCTCATTAGAGTGTTTTTCATTGTCTCCATTCCACTATGCACCCCTGGATGAAGTGTTTAGCCCATGTCCTTCACGTACCACCATCACCACTTTTGCCACCCCCTCCGAGGGCCTTGACCTCATATTTTACTTTGTTCTAATCGCATCAAGATTATATTCCACTTTCTTAGTTTTGAGCCATTCCGCGTATCACTGGATTGCCTTTGAAACAAAAGTTGTAGTCGACATAACTTGTTGTATCATAGTAAGTGTTTCCTCTAAAGGGATGACAACTTTTTGTTTGACTTGGGACAATTTGATCTCCGTGTGCAGTTCAATTAACCAATGCCCGAAAAAGTAATATGAAAATTAAATAAACTTGAACTACTTTATCCATAAATCAATGCCTAATAAACCTGGAATGGTTCACTATCAAGTATCAATCCCCATTTCATCCAAAGTTGATTGGTGGGATGATCAATCCAAAACTTTGAAAAAAAGCAGCTGCAGGTCCGCCTTTCCGGCGCGCAAATCTTCCAAACTACCGTCGCCATCGTTCTCTCTCTCTCACCATACGATTCAAAGTTCCACCTTTGAGCATTCAATGGTTTCAATCTCCTGATACATCATCCGCATTAGTCGATGTAGGGAGAGAAAGTGCACGAACCACCATTCCGGGTTCAATCACTTCACTGTTGCAGAGTAGACCCAAACCCGAGTTTTTCATATTCTTAGAATTCAAAGCTCAATTTTTCAATTCAATCTCCGCATTAAATCACCCTTTTTCCTGCTCTGTGTAATTCACTCTCAGTCCACTGATCTCGTCCGCTCTTTAGCGATCACCATGGAAGAGTAATCACTTCTCCTTTACTCCAGATCCCAGTGTGTAATTTCTTTTTGAAGTGTATTTATTGTTGTTTTACTACCTTATTTGGTTGGAAAATGTGTGGGCGCGCAGGGGGAACTGGATTGAGCTTGTACAGAGATATAGACGAGACAGGCGCGTGCTTCTGAATTTCTTACTCTCCGGCACCTTAATTAAGAAGGTGGTTATGCCTCCCGGAGCAGTTTCTTTGGAAGATGTGGATCTTGATCAGGTCAGCGTCGACTATGTTCTTAATTGTGTCAAGAAAGGTATGCAAATCTGGTGGTGAATTTAAGAGAGATTCCATTTTTGCTTCTGGTTGTTTGACCCCGGGGTTAGATTCTATTATTTTGGCTAAAATGGAAAGCCTCTTCATTAATGTAGGAGGAATGCTTGAACTTGCCGAAGCTATTAGAGATTATCACGATAGTACATTGTTTCCCAATGTGGTAAACATGATATTCTCCTTTTACCGTAGTGTTTTTCCTTTGGTGCTATCTCATCATTCTATTCTCTTTTCCTCTATAGACTTGTTTTCCATTTTGTTCTGCCACATTGCTAATTATTACTCTGTATTGTATTTTGATCTCAAAGAACAATGTAGGAGCCGCCAGTGAATTCTTTTTGGCTACAAATCCTGAATCATCTGGTTCGCCCCCGAGGAGGGTGCCTCCACCTGCCCCTGCTGTGACACCCCTGCCAATTCTACCAAGTCTTTC